GGTATGACTAAGGGTCCTCAGAAGACAGCACGAGTATATGAGGTGAAGCGCTTTTCCACTCCTCCGCCAACATCCACAGGGCCTGCTCTCAAAGTCATTGTACCTCGATCAGCTACGACACTCGGAGAGCCGATGTGGCGATCTGATGTCACCTCTCCTCCACCCATTGCTGGCCCAGTCCCCTACCAACCCTATCAACCTCAATGCCAAACTTACCAACCTCAGTGGGCCACCTCCCCTTTGTCTCCCCCACCTCCCCCTGCCCCTACAGCTCCACTTCCTCAACTTCCCAACTTCTCAGCTGCTCCTGCTCCAAATCAAGTACCTACTTTCTGCCACCTTCCACCCTCCAACTCTGCGCAGGCCAACAGGCAGTTTAAAAGTGCACCAGATTTGAGTCCAATTGGCCCCAATGGTTCCTCTCGGCCAGCACCCTGCAGCAATCTACCTAACAGAGTCCCCAGGCCCAGGTTCAGCACTTCAAACATGGGTCTGCAGCCTAGTGTCTGGCGCCCTGGATTCACTATGCACTAAACAGACTCTGGACTGCACATAATAAACCATGGCTCTTTGAGAACATCTAGCCACATGTTCTAAATAGGTCCATGCATTTTTAGTTTTGTGACATTGTTATTCAGTGCTGCGGCCAGCCACGTTTTATCACCAGATCTGTTTGGATTAGCCACCCATGTAGACATTTTGTCGCACACATTTAATCGTGTTTACTTTTTTTTTCTGCAATGCTGTAGCTAGAGGGAACATTTTTTTCTTTTTTTAGCAAAGTCCATGTAGTGTGGCAACCAGAGAAAAGTATAACAAAAAAAATGGAGAACAGCAGATTGAAAGAACAGAAGTAGATGCTGGGTGAAACTGAAGCAAAGTTCTGTAAATATTGTATTGAATGATGAAGAATTAAGTTTTAACATAAAAAGAAGAATAGAGGATGTGAAACGATAAAACTGTTGTTAGAGAGACGAGCCAAAGATGTGAAAAGGATGGAAAGGAAGCACAGATGAAGTGACATTATAGAAACGTATTGGGTATAAAAGGTGTGGATTTCATTCATAACTTCCCAATCTGCAAAACATCCCAATGTACCTGTTGCCATCCAACGTAAACATATCAGAAAAGGTGCTTTATGAAGAGATTTGAAGGAGCTATTGCTAATGTTATTCCCCCTCTGTTATATACATTTTAAGGAGCTGTGTTTTATGATTCTGTGTGCCTTTTTTTAGTTGCAATCTGCAGCAGTGTGTGTTTTGCTTTCTGTAGTTTCTCATCGGGCGAGGAGCACTGCTGCCACGAAGAAGGGAAGCCTTTTACAGTAGTCTTGATTTCCGATATGTAGATATGAAACAAGAGATGTATAACATGTCAGTTTAGCTTTTTTCCACATAGACATGCGGTTGAATAAAAATAGACATGACTCACCTCAGCTGTCACTCTGTTTCTGCTTGTGTCACCCACCCCTACATTACTCTATCTCCTCCTCTCATTCATTTTTTCCATTGATCTCTCTTTCAGGCATTTACTGACTCGTCTAATAGCTTAATTGCTCTTCTGGGATTTTAAAGACCAAATACACAGCCTTTGAAGTGATAGTTCCGGCATCAGGAAATGTTTTTTTTTTTTACTTTCACCACATGGAGGCACTGTAGGATGTGCCATCTAGACATGCTGCACCACTACAGTTTATGGTTTGTATCTTTTACATAACTAGAAAGTGCATGTTTGACATTTAACAAAACAGTTATACATCTGGCAGGGGGGGTTATTTTATCATTCATCTTAAATATATTTTCTAGATCCTTACATAGGAGCCTATAGAAATCCGGTTGAATGAAGAGATTCAAATGTAAAATGCATTCATCTCTTTTCATACTCTTCTATTTTAGATTATGTTCCTGATAATTGCAGTTGAACACATTTTTGCAGGATTGTTGGCCTCCATTTTAGAGCTGTTTAAATATGCTGACTGATGGCCTTGGAGCTGTGAAACCCAACCAAGACCACAGAAAGGGATCTAACCTCTGACCCGTGACTGAGATCAGGTGACAGGCGGGGCTAACTTTAGCTGCTAACCTTAGTCCTGTTCAGGTCCACTGGTAAGCTTATAGCTGCTGTGCTAGTGGTAGGTACAACAAACACACACACACACACACACACACACACACACACACACACACACACACACACACACTCCATTTCACCTATTTTTTAAGCTGTTAATCTCCAGTTATGTGGTTCAGTACTAAACTCTTAATTCCGATGGCCTTTTTTACAATGTGATTGAAAGCTGAGGGGAGGAGCCACCTTGTACATCCTGTCTCCTCCCGATGCTTTCCCAAAGTGCCTCTTTACTCACGTAGTGGCTCTGGGTCAACAGAGTCAAATGTCTAGGGTAAGGGGTCGGGGTTTATGGTCAGGTCAGATAATGGACAAATACATTTATTTTTAGGTATTTTAAGTCTAAATAATAAATTACAATTGACTGATCTGTTTGGCTTAATTTACTATAACTAAAAGGACATTTTTAATAAGCAGGCAGCTTGGTAATAAACCCTCTATCTGGGAGTTATAGACTGATGGATTTATAACCAGGCTACACACACATCTCTATCAAGGACACCTGACATGTCCAATTTCAGGACTGCCACACTGCATGGGTGATTTTTATCTGTGCTAGTGGCATGGCTCTGAGCATAGCAATCTTAAAGGGCCTGTCGGCAATGGTGCTTGGTTGACTCACCATTTTTGTCCAGACTGCAATATCTTAACAGCTATTAGATGCCATTAAAAATGTACTGACTTTTCTGTTCCCCAAAGACTAATTCTTACATAGATTTGGTGAATCGGATTATATTTAGCGCCACTGGCAGGTAAACGTTACCTCTGAAATATCTGAAGAACTAGTAGATGGATAAATCTGGTGGTGCAGACATTCATGTTCCCCTTGGGATTATATGTAATCAGTTTGGTGAGCCTTTAACTTTTTTTAAAGGTCACATATCATGCTATTTTTAGGCAATAGCATATGTCTCAGATATATAAAAATATATAAAAAACATGTCTATGAAGTGTTTTGCTCAAAATACCAAACAGATCACCGATTCTAGCCATGCCTCATATCCCTCTATTTCACTTCCTGTTTCAAAAGTGCTGATTTTATGTATAAAGCTTTAAAAAAGAGGGAGGGGAATTTATGCCTGCTCATGCGGGAGATGCTATCGGCAGATACTACAGTGATGAAACGCCATATCATGGATTATCAAGGATTATTTCTGCAACAGTATGGAGCTCAAAGGCTTTCTCTCTTGCCGGCTATACCACAAGGTGAGTTCCTTTTTATTTCCTGCTTCTTCACACACATGCTCTCCAGTACATGTTAGCTCTGAGTGTTAGCAATGCTAATGTAAACACTGACCATATTATGTCCAAAACAGTCGGGCATTGTTTCTGATAGCAACGTTTATGTGGGTCCTCCGCTGATATGACGTCAAATCGCTGCAAATCTGGATCAGCTCCGTTGTACCCCCGTTTTTAGAGATTTGGGTACGGAGGAAAAGAGAGAGGGTTTTAGTTTCTGACGCTGCGTGCGTTCCCTGACACACCGGGAACACATATTTATGTATAAAATACATTGTGCATTTTGCATGATAGGTCCCCTTTAATACATTGGTGAAGGACCAAATACCAGAAAAATAATTCCCATTAGCCCCAATATACTTTTGTTAAGTGCTGAACTACAGATGTTTACATGCTTAGACTTTTTAAACAAAGATGGTGAACTTGGCTAACATTAAACCTGCTAAACATCATATTGTTAGCATTGTCATTGTAAGCATGTTTGCATGCTAGCTTTCCTAAATAAAGCGGCACAGAGCCACTGGTGTGTCTATTGACAGAATTTTGTGTAATTCTGCAGTAACAAACTTTGTTAAGTGGATACGTTAAATGTGTTTATAAATATTTTGCTATTGACACATTTAGCAAAGTCATTAGCATTCATTTGGAGTCATGTGTCTGGCCACCTGATTATGTAGGCTGTTGTTCTCTCTTTTAGCTCTATTTTCATCTCTACTGACCCTTGAGCAACCCCTGTCACCCTTGTTTTGAACATTGTCATTTGAATATATATAAAGGCTTCTGGTTGACTCATAAAAAGCAGGTGACTGACGAGGAACTCACACTGTAGCCGGGAGCATACAAGGCATGAAGCCACAACATTTGTTTAGCTGGAGGAGGATGAATAGAGTCTATGAGAGGGGGAGAGAGACACATCAACAAAAGCATAAATGCCCTTAAGCACATAACACCAAGTGACAGGGGAAGAAGGTAACTGCTAGAAATATGTTTTCTATTCTCAGGTTTTATTTGTCGTTCTTATCAAAAGCTGCTGTTGTTTCCCTGTGAATTGAAGGGATGGGACAAATGATTCTGGCTTGGAATTCAATGAAATCATCGTGCTGATCCTTATCAATTTTACTAGCATCTGCTGACTTTCACAATCAGGATTAAATATATGCTACCGATGCATTCCTTCCCTGTGTTCCAAAGGCTTATTATCAAATGTTATGAATTCTTGCTGAACTATTTCTTCATTTTAAAATAGCCCTGGTTTTTCTGAAAGGGAAAAATATGGGACACCAACAGGTTATATTTTTAAAGTCACCTTTCCCACTTGACAAAAAACAAAACATTATTACTGTCAAATCACAAAATGCAAAACCTGCAAAACATTTTTTGGAAAAGGGTATAAGTTACATGTCATTTTAACATTTGTAATTTATTTGTTTCTATGTTTTTTTTAATACATAGATAAAGTTGATACTTGAAAAAAAACGTTGTCAGTTTTCTATGATCATTTATCTTAGTAACCTGTGAACTTGTAACACCACACCCACCCTTTCTACCCCCTACCCAACCAAACCCTCCCCCCCTCCCCCCCAACCCTGAAGCCTGGCCCATAGCACTGCAGCAGCCCTAATGATAGGGTTTCACTCTCTCCAGGGCGAAGAGGAGGGCAGGCAGTACAATACAAGCTCTTGGACACAAATCTACCTGGAAATCTATATTCCTCCTCCTCTGAGCAGCACCTTTTTTCTGTGACCTTCTGTGACTTGTGGATAACTGGGTCTGAGGTAAGACATTAGAGAAGTGATATTGTGTGACCGCAGCTATAAAGAAATGTCTCTCACACGTGCCTTGAGTGTTTGTGGAGTATCTGGCACTGATGCTCACAGAGTTGTCAAATCATTCTAGATCCTATTTAAATACAGTGAGACAGTTCAATTTAAGTCCTGTAGTATTGGGATTTTGGCCGTGGCCTGTGGAGGTTTTAGTATTTCAAATACATTAAGGAATTAAAAGAGAAGCAGATGCTTTACTTCATATTTGATGTTAATCTGTTTTTTGTTTTTTTAAATGTCCCAGAAATTGCTAAATAATTGCTTTACATGATACTTAATTTGACCGGTTTATTGCAAATACAGTTTCTCGAGTAAAACGTTGCTTCAAATGTAATTATTTCTAAATCATGAGTGCCAGATGGTAGATTTCTTCCACCCGCTCTTGCTGTACTTAACACTGTGGTAGGGGATGAATGTGGCCTTCTGCATTGGAGTTTTTAGTCTGCGGGTATGGATCTATGTGTGTATTTTGGAATGTGCTTACTGATGCCCTTTTGCCCTTCCTCCCCAGCTGTCTCCTCAAGATTTATCAGGAGCTAAAATCGGCTGGTCGTGGCGGGTGGGGGGGGTCAGCACCATAGGAGCGCCTCTTCTCTCAGAGAGGTGGTAACTAGACCCAGGCCCTCCAGCAGAGCAGCTTACCTCCATCCGGCCTGTCCCAGAACATTCAAAAACACCTGTAATCCCCAGTTTTAATCCATAGCCAATGACTCACATTAATCACAAGAGAAAAGCTATTTGAGTGCAAATCCGTGAGTGTGTGTGCTGGTACTTTTAAATGTACTGTCCCACTCCTCCACTATAGAACATGGGTACATAAAAATAGCGCACAGTACTGAATCCCAGGATAGGAAATGAGCTTCAATTACAGCAGATGAAAAGCAATTACATTAACTGTCTCCCTGCAGACCGGCCAGCCAGCTTTTTCTCTTGTAGTGGGACTCACCTCCAGCCTTACATAATTGCTTTCGACCCTGGTAACAGCAACATACTGCCAGCCCCCATTTGAGTGGTTAGCCAAGAGAGACACGAGCTGCCATTGGGAATGGTAGTCCTCTAGGCAGGGCATGCGGGGGGCTATACACAATGTTGTGTATAGTCCCACCGCACACAATAGTGTGCTTAAAATAATTACAGAACCCAGTGAGGTTTCTGCTGGAGCTTACTAGAAATTGGGATGTGATGTGCAAACTAATTGTACAGAAACATATCTTGGAAAACAAGAGAGACTTTTCTTGAACTACTTACAGTATGTAAACAATTTTGTGGTTTCACATTTCACTGCTGCTAATTCTGTCTCTGTTGGACCCCGAGAGACCAAAAACATTTGAGCATTAGGGGTATAATTCTTAAAGATCCTTCTGTCTCACACTTTAAATTCAATTAATGATAGATTACAAGTTAAGTCAAGCCAATTTATTTACAGAGCATATTTAAAAACCAAATGTTATATAAGCAATTGATATGCTATTAGAAATAGAATTAAAACACACAATAATACATTCAGTAAATGATGTAAACTTCACTGATCTGAGACCACTTTATATCGCAAACGTAGTTTTACACTGTAAAAGATCCCCTAGGCAGGACAGTCTCCTTAAATATAAATAGCCTTATAAAGTTATTGTTGCAAACAGCTGCCTACAGTATGTTACAACCTCCAGCACAACATTCAAATGGAGTCATGTCACTGGTCACCTGATGAATGTTAATCCAATATTCACTCTTTTAAAGCTCTGTTTTGGTCTCCACCAATCTCTTTAGCTGCCTAATGCTACGCTATTTTCACTAGCTAGCTGCTAACCTTTTTGTCTGCAGTCTGGGGATTGGGCAGGTGGTGCACAGTTGGTTGTAGCATTGTGGGCTAAAACGCTCTGGTCAGCTGAGTAGGACACTGCAGTGTTGGTTAAGAATTGTTTTCACCACAAGCAAACCTTTAAGTCAATTGATTCAATGTTAATTTAAAATAGTGATTAGTGCAGCTTTAATAGTGAGACGATTGTTAAATGCAGGTGAAAGATCTGGAAATAGCGAGTCCAGATGTAATGTCCAACTGCAATTATTTCCCGAAAAAAAGGTAAATCACGCTGACAATTATTTTTACGAGGTCATCATTTCCACTTTTTTGTTCTTTAGCCATGCCTCCCAGCACTCCTGTCCCTCCTAACAAGAGGAAGAAGGCCTACAAGATAATCACTGACCTGTCCAACATCAGCCAGGATGGTAAAACCCACACCCACACACACACACACACACACACACACACACACACACACACACACACACACACACACACACACACACACACACACACACACACACACACACACACACACCACACACACACACACACACACACACACACCACACACCACACACACACACACACACGCACACACACACACGCACACACACACACACAAACAGCATCCAAAACCTTTTGCATGGCAAGATGACCGGCCCCTGGGGGGGTGTTGCTGCCCTGTACTTGGTGAAGACCTTCCTCTTTCTCCCGTGTGTGATCTGATTATCCAGCCGAGTAAATGTCAAATTCATTTGTAAGGTTCACTCCGTGGTTGTCTGCCATCTGCACAGCCCCATGTGTGTGTAAAATTGAACTGCTGGGGTGTAACGTTGCATGCGTGTCTTATGATCCTAAAATGTAATAAGGGACACCACACCGGTTCTAAGCAGTAACACAATCTCTTACATGCATGTGGCATCTCCTGAAGGGATGTCGGTCATTATCAGATGGCAGAGCAGCCACAAATCTGTCACCATTGGAGGCAACACAAAATACCAGTACGGTGAATCTGTTCCCACCATACGGTGAATCTGTTCCCACCATATTTGTTTAAGGCGCCTGAAGTGGAATCATCGCAACTAAAAATATTGGAACAGGTTCATATTTGGCCTTAGTCTGTTCGCACATTAATGCAAGAGTAATCCAATGTAAAATTATATAATCCAGTATAATATAATATGATATTATATAATATATAACACTCAAAAGGGATATGGTTTAGCATACGAGCACTGTTGATACTTTAAGTGCAATATAATGTAGTACTTATACATTTGTGCTATTTGTACTTTTTAATAATTAGTATGATTAGTAAAATGTTGAGTTAGATTACGTTTGAGTTTTTCTATAATCACACTGGTGATCCCCTGACTTATCCATAAGGTTACAGTCACATACATTTTTGTGTGAAAAAAACTAATGATGAATTTTAATAACTTTTCTGATCCTCTGACTTCTCATTTAGAGCCATCATCAGGTTTCAATCTGTATCAATACTTTTTGGGTTTATGACCAACATCCTGCCCAATTAATGATATTCTCATTCACCATAGCTATACATTTTGTTTAGTGATAATCAGAGAATTAACATGCCAACACAGTAAACCAAGATGGGTGACATAATTGTATTATATAAATAAAAATTGCTAAAAATCTGCAAATTAGCCTGCTGGCAAAAGCATTTAGCTCAACAGTAACACCGTGCCTAATGGCAGTCTCACAGAGCCGATATGACTGACATTTACTTGTTGCATAATATGCTACCAACAACAATATATACTTTGCCAATCCCTGAGAGTGCAATCTGAGCATGGTCTGAGTGTCTGTTTACATGCTTTTGTCTCAACAATCTGTCTTTCCCCATTTGTGTCCTTCTGCTGTCAGATCTGCAGCAACATCTGTATCTTTTCACCAGTTTGTTTTCAGTCAGTCAGTAAGGAGCTTATCCCTTACTTTTCTCCAGCTAATACCCACTCGTCTATCAATCATCCCTGTCACTGTGTCGTTGTGACATTTGTCCCATGCCTGCACGTTGTCCGTCCGTCCTCCCCCTGCCTCTGTCAGTCTGTCCAATTTCCTCCCAGTCATCAGCCAGCTCCAGTTTCCCATTCTTCTGAATTAACACTCTAATCAATATCCCCATGGGAGAGTTCGCTCTGCTCAGCAGCCACAATTATTCCCTCTCTCTCGCACACACACATACACACACACTTAATACACACCCACTTGCACAAGTCTGATTTATGAGGTACTGCTAACAGCTCTCCGCAGCATTGCAATGCCAACTCCCCGCTTTATAGATGGGTTTCGTGCGTGTTTGTCGGTTTATGGCTGGCCACCAGGTGTTATGAGTGATATCAGAGTGTATGTGGTGGATGAGAAGAGTGTTTTATGAGGAGCTCTGTGGAGCAGTAAAATCCATCAGATCTCTCCATCACTGAAACAGAAGAGTGGAAAGAGAGGGAGAGCGGCAGTGTGTTATTAGGATTTCCCTCAATAAACAGTTCTAACAGAAAACCTGCCTTGACATTCCCCAGTGCCCTGTTCTTCTATATTGCTTTGGCCTAGTAACCCCTACAACTCCCCCCACACACACATCCCATAACATTGTACACTAGGTTTCATCTCTAATTCGTCACAAGGATAATATGGAATACCAGAGGATAAAAATGTACCCTTTTCATTTTCATACATCCCTTGTTTAATTTAAGATATACAGTGCAAGATAAACCCACAGTTTAATTTTCCAAATGGTTTTGGCTTATAAGAGAGAGCACTTTTCAGAAAGTGTTTTACCTCCACCAAGACTTTATTAACAAAACAAAAAAACACCCAAAACTGGTACTCTTGGGTTTTTTTCCCAAGCAGTATTGAGAAGAAAATCAATACTGCTCTCATAGTTGCCGAGGATTGAATTAATAATTTACGCCTTTACTGTTCATATCTTGAACCTATTTAACAGCATATGCTTTTCTGGTGTAAAACAAGATATGACATAAGAGATGATGTATAAAGATAACTTGATACAATGTTGGAGATGGGACCCCATTCCCCCATTAAGCCAAAAATGTCTGACTTTCGAGAATAAAATGACCCAGATGTTCCACTGATCTTCTGCATTCTTGAAGCCCATAGCGCATATAGGACCTTATGAGTTAAAGCATTACATTTAATGTTCACACAGGGTAGTACAAATAAATGATCCCCTGGTTTAGAGACGTCTCTCCCTATGAAGTCAAGCCAATGTGAAAAGTCTACATTTAAGGCCCGTCCACTTTGAAATGGCCCAATAACATGCACTTTATGTAAATCCTGTTATAACTAAACACTGCTCAAACATTCACAAGGGAATACGTTGCAGTACGGAAGATGTATGGCTTGCGTTTCACTCGGAATACAGCCAAAAAAGGTTCGCTTCGCTTAAACTGTCACAACTATTTTACACTTTACTGTTGCTGTACACAAGAAACTGTATAAGGTGTTCATTTGTTAACATGTGCTGTGTGTTAGCATATTTCCTTACATTTGGATTCAAGATTCAAAGGTTTATTGTCATAACTTATACACATATGGTGTAATTATATAATGTATGAAAAACTTAGATTGCAGGCTCCTCAACAGTGCAATTACAAGTCAGAGCCAGGCACAACGTTTCTCCCTTTTTCCAGTCTTTTTGCTAAGCTAATTTAAGAAATGCTGGCTGTAGCGTCATATAATTTTCTAGAAGAGTTGCTGGAAAACAAATAAGGATATTTCCCAAAATGCTAATATTTGTATTTATTAAAAGTCATCACAAAAGTTATAACATTTTTTTTATTAAAACACGCTTTTTCATTTTGAACTGATTGGACAGATCAACAGAACATTTGATGAAAAATAAAATCACCTTGTTGGCGCAGTAATGCAATATAATTCAATAAAGATCTTCCCTACCTTTTCTCTGACCACCTGCAATATTTAGTCCCTTCCTTACATCCTCTTCCTCTTCCTGTCAGATGATGAGTCAGACTCTGAGGCTGCTGAGTTTGACCTGGGCACCAAGATCAAGACGCCCAAGGGACACCATGCTGGAGGAGCTCTCTTTGAACACAAACAAGGGCTCCAAGATGTTCAGGATGAGACAGCAAAGAGTCGAGAAGTTCATCGTGACCACCATGAACAAGGTAAGAGTGAATAATAGAATGGGAGGTTGTGTTTGTGAACACTAGGTTGTGTGTATAGATCTTTACGGAGCAGAATAATGATTTTCCTTTGTTTGTCTTCCAGCAGAATCTCGAGAACATGTTGATGTGCCCCCCTCCTGTCCCACCAAAGCCTGATGTAACAAAGGAAGAAGGTGGGGTCAAAGATTATTATTCGTTTTTTTCAGTGTTTCTTTCTGTTAAGATTTTGCATTAAATCTCCCTGCTTCTCCCCTCCTGCGTGTTTTCAGTCGTAGAAGAGATATTGGATGAGAAAGCAGAGAAGGAGAAGAGAAGGAAGCAGTATGTACCCATCTACGTATCACCATGGGAACGGGCCATGAGGGGCAACGAGGAGCTGAGAGCCACCATGAGGTCTTGCATGCCGGGACCCATCCAAGAGCACCTTGACCTGCCAATGTACAAGAGCTTCAACAGGTAAACACAAACAAACATCACATTTCCTTGTATGCAACACAAAGTAAAATGATGATACCATTGAATTTAACTGACTTGATTTAATTTGTCCAAAGTTGTTTTGCGTTAGTTAGCCTATAAGTAAAAACAAATTGGCTATACAGTATATAAAATGTGTCAGTCAGCCTGGTCTCCTACAAAACTGAATTGTAAATTAAATTTCAAAGGAAACATATTTTCTCCTGTATTAGGCTTGTTTTTGGTGTATCACAAATAAGTTTCCTGTCAATGTAAAAAAATCACAGACGTACCCAACAAACATTATTTTAGTTTCAAACCATCCTTTACTTAAGATCAATCTTGGAACCTTAGGGATATATTTGTATGTTTTACAAACTGTTTTTAAACTAATAAAAAGCTAAATGAATACCATTACGGCAATGCTTTCCGCCTCTTGTAATGTTTTGAGTAATTTCACTTCAGTAACTTTGTGTTTAAACGCGCAACAGAGAAGATACATTTTCTTTGAATTGAAATTCCATTGTTCTCATGACACATAGTTGATTAAGTAGATCATCCCTGCAACCTGCAAACAATGTGTAACATTGAAACATCACGTCATTTGTAATCAAATTACGTTACAAGTCATATGTTCTGTATGTTGTGTGTTATCTTTCCTGGTCTTCCCTTCTTGCTCCCTAACTTCCTGTATCTCCTTGTTCTTTTTCCCAAGGACCGCGCTGCCATTTGGCGGCGTAGACAAGGTGTCCAAGACGTTGACCTTCGAACTCCCACAGTTCAATGATGGCACAGACGAGATGGAGCTTTTGCCCGGCCAGCAGGGGGACATGCGCACACGGCCCTCATTCAACCGCACGCCCATTGGATGGATCTGCAGTGAGGACAACTCAAACCTCCACATGGACATGGACATCATCCCCTTCGATGAGACAGACGACCTGTGAACACGCATGCACACACAAGCAATACATGCACTGGAACTCATACACACACATGAAGAAAACACCCTCACATGAGTGAATAAATGAGAACATTAGGCACAGTTTATAATTCACACCACATGACTGACGACATGATGATTGGTAGAACTACTGGAAAAAAAACAACTTAAAAAACGACTTGATGGAAAATGACTTAGAATCTCCCATATGTGTGCTTTCTAATCCCATCATCTCCAACCATGATTGAGTCTTACCCATATCTAGCATGCTGTGAAACGATGTAAGACCTGTGTGAATAGGTACATATGAGCACTCTGCACTCTTAAAACAATGTATTTATGCAATAAAGTCCCCTTTACAAAAGGTCTGTCTGCTTCTCATTTCAACACTGTGCAAGTCCTGGACTTGTTGAAGTGTTACTCAAAAGTCCTGATTATTAAAAAAAAACAAAGAACTTTACAACATCATTTTGGAAAATAAATCTGATCTGAATTCTTTGTTTTACTCATCGTCAAAGGTCTAAAAATAAGTAAGCAAGAGCCAGGACAAATCTTAAAAGCCTTTCTTTATGTGGGTTTTTTAACCCACATAAAGAATATATAAACAAAATGTCTAAAATAGAAATCAAAATTCTCATCCAACTTTTACCAAGAAAACAAATAAGGGGATTTCCCCAAAAGGTTTCTATTTCTGTAAATGCCTATAAGATGACCTTCTCTGTGAAAAGCAGTGTGACAGTAAACTTGTGCTGGCAGATCTCCAATGAAAGGAAGTAAACAGGTGTTCTCCATGTTTCTGACAGCAGGTTACATCTGACTGTGGAGGTGTGTGAGAGAACCAAACAAATGGGGTTAATGCTCCTGTAACACTGAATGTGGACCCCACCTGCGGCCCCTCTCCAAAAGAAAATGTCATGATGACACCATTGGTGATATTTTTGCAGCAAAGACTGTAATGTAACTTGATGTTGAGAAAACAATAACCAGATTTTAAAATTGTATTTAATGAAAATGTAACCAAGTCACTGACACAAATATTACTAAAACAAACACCACTTAAGGTATTTGATGATGTTGTTGATGTTGTTGTTGTTGTTGTTGTTGTACAGTATAGGGAATTCAATTCAATTCAAAACCTTTATTTATCCAGGTGAAATCCCATTGAGATCATTGATCTCTTTTTCAAAGGGAGACCTGCAGCAGTAGGTTCCACATGAAGACATAATCAACAGAACAACAAAAGGCAACAATTACAGGGATTACAATGTACATATCTATCCACATGTACAGGTACCAACAGCATCTGATTGTGTAGCATCCAACCGAGCTTTAAAAACATGTAGTGGTACCAGATTGGTAATTTTCCATTCTTTTTGCAGACTGTTCCAAGTTAGTGGAGCTGCACATCTAAAAGCTTTCTTCCCTAAGACAGTCCTAGCACTTGGCACATTTAATAAAACCACAGCATGCGATCTCAGGCAATAACTACTTTCAATTCGCCGTGAGATCAGGGAGATGGTATAAGATGATGATATAAGATGGTAGTTTATCCAACATGGCTTTGTAAATGAAAATGTACCAGTGACTGAGCCTCCGTACAGTAGGCCTAAGTGATGGAATGAGTTGATACTAAAATTGTTGAAAACTCTTTGTTTCTTTGTCCCCCCTTAATAAAATAACTCCTCCCACCCAGGTATAATTAGTCTTGAACTGCCACTGATTGTCCCTATCAAAAATAAATAAATAAAATCAAATACGGGATGACATCATCCTACTGCTCTTTTCGCCTCTCGCCCAGGAGACGGCGGCATCGGGCTGAGTGAGCCTCTGGTAAAACTGCTACGTCACACCACACACACTCTTATGAAGATGGCACGGTATCGCGAGAGCTGCGTGCCGCGACCGCAGCGATGGATGGCGCTGGTGGGGGCTGCACGCGCCCACGGCTCGCCCTCTCTCGCGTTAAATCACACCGTAGGACAGGGGAGCGGACGTAGACTGGCAGCGACAGCACACGGGGTGAGTAAAAAGAAAACACTCGCATTGAATGGACTACATCACTGATACAGGACAGGGGGACGCGCGTGTGACCGGACACCATCGGTAGGTGTGTGAGTGAGGTTCTGGGGGGTGTCAGCCAGTTGTTATCCTCAACAGATGTGACAGTCTCACAGTGTGGCTGTCACCTTCTTCTCCGGTGTGATTCCTCCCATCAGCAGCAGCACTTGCAGCGTTGTCTCCCTGTATTAGGTTTTCCTCCACCTTTCTATTGTCACTTGTAGGTTTTTATTGTGTCAGGTGGTCTCGGGTCGGTAATTCTCCTCTACGCAGCAACTCCCCCTCGTGCTGCACGCCGCTTGCCACTTTAACGGACACACGCAGCCCTTCCCCTTTAACTTCACCCTGTCGCCACAGTCCCGGTTCGTTTTCCACACACTGACATGTGTTAATGTTACCCTCCCGTACAACCGCTAACATGCGCGTGGCTGATGCCCTGTACTTGATGAACTGTGGACTTGTTGATGGATGGCCGCGAGAGAGACCGAGGCGGATTCACGCGCCACTGTCATCGCTCCCGGGGGCCGCTATTGATTTATCGTTGCGGTTTCGATCCGCCTGATTGATGACTTTGGCCCCTCACCGGGCCCGCATCACCGGCACTCCATTGTGGCGTCACATTAGCGATGGTGATAGAGCACTCACGCACGTGAATACTTATCCAAAAAGAGGGAACATAGGGCACCCCATCATTGAGTGGGAGTATCTGCTTTTTTGTTTTGGATACTTGTGAGGATATTGGATTGACTTTCAGTGATTTAGTTAAAGGCTTATCCTATCCTTTACTACTATACTTAAACCAAACAACCCTTAAATCATAACCCTAAAATCTTTCAGAGACTACAGGGCTGTCCTTGAGTCAACTATAATGTATACAATTTGGTTGCTCCTAAACCAAGTTTCTCCAATAAATACTCACCCTAAAGCACCACTATACATATTGGTGATTCGGAGATGTGCACATATTGGAAGTCAGAATGAAGAATGCCCCCAAAAATGAATAATTGTAGTCGACTAAAGCAACCAGTTAGCTAGACAACTCATTGACCCAGAGGGGGAAGCCCTAGTTGCCATAGTGAAGCATTTTATCTTCACATGGGAGAAAAAGGAGGCTGGAAAGGTATATTTGGCCACAGCATGAAAACACACACAGCGTCCCCCTTTAAACTCAGCTGAAATGTCGCCTTGGCATTTCAGGTGGATTTATCATCAATTTCAGTTTTTGGAGATTACGTTTTGCTCTGTGTACTTTTGTTGTTGTTTCCATTATATCAAGTGTGCATAATGTCTGTGTGTGTGTGTTAGTGTGTGTGTGTGTGCTTATCTGCCTCCAAATGTTGCAATACCCCACTCACCCTTTTTGATCTGAAAACCACTGGCTCATGGCCCATATTTGCACTATATTTAACTAGACATGCCTTT